TACGATATCTGCAGGTTCTTTCTCTAGAGAGATAATGCTTGGAGCTTTGAAATACTGGTTTTTTAGTCTCCTCAACTGGAGCATTATTACAACTAAGGTGCCTGGCTTGCTCTTTTCTTTGTTGTTTTTTTACACTCTCAACATTTGCGTGACTCTCCTTGCTGAATATTGCAGGAGGATGGGACACAGTTGAATTTGTATTTCTAACTACTTGAAATTTGCATACACGTTCCCTTGTTGCTGCCTGCTGTCTTTCCTTTTTACTTTCAACCCTGGAATTTTGATCAGACTCCATTTTCAGGATCCTGATGGAAAATTAACTGCTGGATAATATCATCAGTAACTATACATATTTATATAGAAGGTATATTTCAGAAACCTAATCTGTGGGTGAACAGAATTTCACAATAGCAGAGACTATTAAAGAAGTTGGAGAATGATCAAAATATGTGATCTTACAGGATAAAATATAATTTAACATGACAGTGATTGTATTTTATAATAATATTGTAAATAGCAAGTAAGCTTTTATGGATTTAAGGCTTAGGGTTTTAGGTTCAGTAAGGGAGGATAGCATGTCTCAGAGGCATTACGGTTGCCGTCGCAGGAAAAAGTGTCACACTTTTTGTGTGAAAACTGGTTTAGTGGCTAGCCTTCCGGAACCATATTAGAGCATCCTTTCATATACGGCATCGGTATTGTGAATAGGGTGAGTTGGGGGAAGGGCTGGCATGGACGCGGAAACCCGGGGCATCCTGCGCTACACGGCTGCACATGCACCTTTTCTCTGCAGATTGCCCAATGGCCTCTGTACTGACTTTGCGAGCACATCTCGGGCCTGACATCCTGGTACAAGTACCATTTGTCACATTCCCCTTAATTTTCCCTTAGGTATGATACGCCCACTGTACTTTTGGGTGCTAACCCAATTGAGCTAGTTTACATAGCCCTAACGGGATTACATGAATGAATACTATGATACAGTAATATTGTGTTCCATTTCACTATCATGGCATGCGCCAGTTCGGATTCCGGATATCTGGTTGACTTTTAAGCTAGGGTCAAGCGCTTCTTTCATGAGGACAGGGGAGCCTGCCATAGATAAAGAAAGCTAGTGAGAAGCCAAGGATTCTTCTAAGGATCTGCCAAACAACCCTATTCATGTATCGGCATCATTTAGTAGGCTCCGGTTGGTTCATGGGGGCTCCAGCGCTTTGGGTACTAGGGTTCCAAAATTCACGGTGGCCGGTGCGGTGCGGTTGGGTTGTGGTTGTCAACCTACAGTATCGTCTCGCGTATTCTTCGGGGGAACGCGACATGCACCACGCGGCGGTCACACCCTTAGCCAGTCACGGTCCAAATCACTGCCAAAGTGCAACCATCTGCCGGCAAACCTCTCAGGGTACCGGGGAGCTAGCTTTTGGGTTGCGGTACCGTGCTGTTTGTTTTAAGTCCATTCCCATCTTAAAGACTACCCCGAGGCACTACTGGTCTAATACCCATTCTATACCCTTACGCTAAATACCTGGACTTCGCCTAACTCCCATGGCCTGCCTGAGCTAGGATTAACTTACATCCCATAACTGCCTCAAAATAGAGAATTATTCATCTCCCTATTTAGGGTTTGGCCCTCAGAGACCAGTTCTAATGTATCTTTCTCCATTTATTGCCCAGTCCCAGGGCTTGCTAAATATTTTTTGACTCTCGTACCCCGGTTGGCGACAAACATGCTACCTCTCCGGTTCAGATACGCTAAGCGACATATTTGTCCTTCTCTACCCAATCTATGAAAAGGTAACCACAGTAAGCTAAAAACTCGAACCCTTGGTGGATCAGCCGGCACCCCTCCCCTTTAATGTCTATGATTCTGGAAGTGGTAGGCGCCCGGCTAATCATCCTCCTAGAGAGACCCAAGTCAATTTCAGCGGAGACCATAACAGGAAGTCTCGCGATCATAGGGCTTTTGGTCGTAGCAATAATGATTTCACAAGCACGGAAACCCTGAACAAGGTTTCCAATTCCGGGCATTTATATCAGGGGTGTGTGCTTCGAGGTGGGTCCAATGCACTATTAGAAATAGGAGAAACATCTAGGCCTTATTGGATAAATTTTTATCGCACAAACACCAAGTTCGCTTGGCGCACAGATCTCATTGAGTCAGTAAACGGACCTTCAAGCGTAACCGCTGCAACCAGATCGCACTGTGTGGATTAGGCGGCTCTCGGCGTAGGCCTATTATTCTTATTTCGGGCGCTTGCTAATTTAACCCTGCTTGTGAAAACTGGGTTTACCCTCGAATATGTTTATCAGAACGCAATGGACAGTGGTTGTGATGTTTTTTGGCTCCAGGGGAGAGGGGTATTAAAATTTTGTGGGGTTTTCAGAGCTATTGCACAATATGTTCGAAATACACGACCCAGCTGAAAAAGACCTAGCGGAATTCCCACCAAATTCTCAGAGGTGGGTCGAAGGCATAGACAGTAGTGATTAGGTACCCGTTATTGAACAGTTGACAACGAGGAGTACTTTACCGGCAATAGTGGTCCCATCGCCGAATTTCTCCCTCAAGGGCGTCAGGGTACTCTAACATTGACCACCAGACCAGACCACTCTGGGCTGTGCCTGGTCAACACTGCAAAAGGATTGATGTCGGAAAATTGGAGGAGGGTGGCACGATTTAAGACATGAAGAGGGAGAGGTGATTATAATGGTCCTGAGCTCCATCCATCACATCCCGCCGGCTATGGGAGGTGCGGCATCTTTCATGATTGAAACCTAGGCACCGCCACCCACTTACTAGACTATTTTCCGGGGAAGCGACGAACACGCGAAAAGGCTGCTTTCACATCCGTTTTGTGATGTCCAATGAGCGATAGATATGACGGAAAGAATCCTAGCTGTCTACTTTGTCACTTTACCCGAATCACAGAGCAGATGTCCCCAGCGGCGGATCTTCTGCGTCTGGTTTTCTTCTTCGGTTGCCATAACACACCCGAAGAGCTAATGGGTCAAAGTAGTTTGGAGGGGATAGATGGCCGGGTTCGGTGTCGTCGGGCCATTGGGGGGCCATTAGGATTTTGGCTAGCTACGGCTGTCAAATTCATGGAGAAGACATTTTACGAGCTTCATGGATTGGAGCAACTGTGTTTACAAGTATATTAAATTTTAGCAACTAAAGAGTTGAAATCGGTCGAGGGCCGCTGCCCCGAAAGTGGCTTCAAGGTTGTTCCTCCGCCATTGTAACACGCGGAGATAGATATATTGGTTGTACATAAATCTACATTCCACCTGTGCTTGTGGTAACCAAAGGTTCAAGGGATCCCGTTTCCGAACAGCTATGATTTCGCCTGGGATAGAATCTCTACATACGAGTTTCTACGATCGCACAGAAATTCAATGGCGTCCATGAATTGCACTGCGAGGAGACTGTAACGAGTGTGGCTGGGACAACAGTGGTTAGAGGGGGGTTATGTTCCAAGGGGGGATAGGTATCAAGGAAAGGCGGAAGTGGCCGAGAAGAATACTCCGGAAATTATTAGAGGATATTGTGGAAACATTTGGACTGAAATAACCCCACCATCCTGAAAACCGTCCACTACCTGGCATTGGCGCTACTATAGAGAAGGAAGTACGATGAATCAGAGACGGTGAATCAGCGTGTACTGGAGTAGCGCGAGAAGATTCTTGGACCAGACAACCCCTGGCACCTCGCCAATTTTCCAAAGCCCAAAGCATGTACATTGAATAATATCTATTATGAAATAAAAGAAGGAAAAACACTGCTAAACTCTAAAGTAACCTAACAAGTGCCGACCGCGGCTGCATCCTGCAGTTCGTGGTATGGTGGTATCGTTCCACTGAGGGAGGCATTGGGGAAAGGATCGCTGCCCTAGTCGCTCGGGATGGTTGGAACCGATATATCCCAGCTGATGTTGGGGGCGCTTGGTGTTAGGAAAGGGGTGGTGGGCGGGCAACAAGAAAAGGGAGTTCTAGAGAGGTTCGAGGATCTTGTGGTAGGGGAGATCTCGTGTTGTTGGGGAATCTCGTGTTCAGGGGGAACACGGTGGTGTTATGTATTGCGGGTGTCCCACGGTCCTACTCGGTGGAGCTATGACCCCGAGCTTAACGCGTTCCCGACTATACCTTTTTCCGTCGGCCTCCGAGACACAGCTAACGCCAGGTGTAGTAGCGCGCATGCTTTGCCCAATTAGCAATGGGTTCGTCCAACCCGCCATCCAAGTGCCAACAACTCGGCTACGGTGCTTAGGGATTGATTTCGTATTTATACAATTTTGTATAATACTGTATAATACGGTATTTTAACTGTATAATATTATAAAATACGTATCTTATTTGGTACTAGAAAATTATTTCTACAATGATCCAGGATTCTATAATAATGACCACCAGGGGATGTAAAAGTGGAACTGGACTTTGTGTTGGAAAAAAACTAGTTGTAAATTTATGTCAATCCTGAGTAACTAGTTCTCATCAATGGTGTTATCATTTTGTGATAGGGTTTACGAAGGTGTATATAAGTGAAAATTTCACTATAGGCAAAAGCTCACATCAAATGCTACTACAGAACTTGATAAAAGCCACTACATCAAACCCCTTGTTAGGGTGGTTGATCAGAAAATTTACTCTTTAGGGCCTATTATTTAGGGTTACTTATTTTAGTACAGGTATGTATGGTATGTATGGTATAAAAAGTAAAGTATAATATACGTATATTTGAAATCCCTAACGGTGCTGTGGTTACAAGAATCGTCTGCCGATTCAAAGACAAGGCAGCGTCCACGGCGGCCGCTGCCAAGTGTTGGAAATCGTTAAGTGTCGGTCGACACGCTCTCAGGATTGTATTTGAATTTTCGGCGATCGGCGGGGTCTCGCAAGCTTGAAACGAACAAGTGACTATCTGTGACAGCGATCAAACGCCAAGTGCTTACTAATGTATGATCGCACAACTTGGAACGGGAAAAAAAACTGTTCACTATCCTAACACACTCTCTCCCTCTATTCTCTACTCACTATTGCGCGCAACCAACTAACATCAACTAACGGTAGGGACAGGAGTATATATCACGACAGCGATAAACGATAAACCCACAAACCAAGTCCTCCAGTCCTCCCCCCGAAGTGAGTCCCCCACATACTAGCAAACAAAAGCTAAGAAAAGAACAAACTTCACTATGCTCTCTAGTCCTTCTCGCTAAGTCTTTCTTTCCTCCCCAACTCGCAAACAAGCCGCTAACAAAGGAAAGACATACTCGCCCGCCACTTTCCTTCCGGCCCCCGCTGCCGCCACGCCGTCCTTCCGCGCCGTCCTTCCGCGCCTGCGCTACCTCCCCGCTCCTCCTCCGGCATGCTCCTTTCCTTCCACGCCTCCCGGCGGATTCCAAACCCTGTGCGCACTCCCGTCGCCCAGCGCTTTCCCAAAAGCCAAAAGTGCGCCCGGAACCAAAGCGCACTCCCAGAAACTAACAAAGGAAAGCTAACTAGCACGTGAGCTGACAAACCATTTTACGAACGAACGAAACCGACAAACAGTGGAGGAAGGGAACAGGGGGGTGGGGGTAGGGGAAGGTACGAGCATGCCGAGAAGCCTCTCGGGGTTTCCAACAGATTGTTCGTCTGTTTGCCCGGGTAGTCTCTGGGAGCCGGTTTTGGTTTCGGGCGCACTCTGGCTTCGGGTGCCCTTTGGTTTCCACCCGCACAGTTTGGCTTTTCGGCAAAGCACATCGGCCGCGGGAATGCGCAGGAGTCCCGGAGCAATGTATCCGCTGGAAGGAAAACGAAAAGGCCATGAGGAACATCGGAGGCTATGGACAGCGGGAGTTGGCCTTGCCTTTGTTAGCAAGGGAGTCATAGAAAGCAGCAGGGGGCACACAAGCAATAGTGTGGACAAGCGTGGTAGTCCATGGAGGGATAGAATGACTTTGTTTATTGTTATGTCATTGAGATATGCTCCTGTCTTTACCGTTAGTTAGTTGAGCGCGATAGTGACGGAGAAGACGAAGAAAGGAGGTTTTCTCCGCTCGCGAGTTGTGTAATTGTTTTCGTGTGAGAGGTCTTGGCGTTTCGTTTTGTGGTGTTCGTTGTGCGCTATTGCCGCCGCTTCGTCTACTTGAGTATAGTACCGCTTGCCCGTCCGTTCCGCTGTCGCCATTACCTAGGCCGATCCGACATTTAAAGCCAACAGACCATCTGTGTTAAGACAATGCACTGAGGGCTTCCACATAGTGAATTTTGCAGATTTGGGCATTTTTTTCCACGCTTGAAACTGGACAAGTCTTGTACCCATTTATTCTGTTACTACCTACAGCGGCCTGGGCCTGCAATACCGGTAGGTCTTGTTGGCGGAGATTGATAGAAAGATGATTAATAAGTTCTCCAGAGATCTCCTCGCTTAGTATACCTGCAGGAGTTATTGTTAGTAGTGATATCGATCTCACTGGATTCTAGTGCCAGCATCGTTACCACAGTCTTCAGGGTGGTGCGTATGGTGTACGGTACAGTAAGGTACCGGTGTTTTTTTTTACTGTTGAAAAATATGCTAATCCTTGGCAAATAGAAAATGGTATCAGAGTTTCGCAAATAAGGGCGCACGGATTACGCGCCTGGGGCGTGCTTCCTCTTTGAATAGTGCCCCGAAGGTAACAAGCCCAGAGCCGAATATGTAAGCTAGAGTAGAGACAAGAGCTTATCATAGCTGACCTGTATCCAGGAAATTATGAACCAGAAAGAAAAAAAGAAATGCGTATTTCTCATGGGAACCCAGAAAAACCTAGGGTTTGGAACCGAAGTCCCGCTGGTGGGCCATTTCCATCCTAGAAAAAAAATGTTTTTTCTAGATTCCTGGCTGATGATCACGATAGTAAAAATGAGATTACACAATATCATAAAACTCAATGATTAAAATTGGGAAGCCATTGTGGAGATCGCATCACGAGGTATCAATAGCTTGTCAGTTGTGAATTTTGAAAGATTCTGGAATAACGGCTAGGCTGTGGAGGGTTGTGGTCATGTGACATATTGATTCGCTTGCCCTTTGCTCGCACAGATATCATATGATACAGCATCGTATCATAGGAATCCCAGTCGCGTGCGACCTGCGATACCGCCTCCTGCCTGCGCCACTTCCGTTGGGAATTCCGACAAATGCGGCGTACTCGAGTACGTAGCCTTTGCACGTGCTAACGCAGACGGGCTCGGTTCCAGGGGCTTCACCAAACCATTGGCGGTAGAGTGTACCGTCAGCGTATTGTGTCCTATATTTTTGCCTTGTTTTACGCGCCACCTCGGATTTTAGATGTCTAATGGGCTTTAGGGTACTAGTGCCTCCTAGGATCATGCGAGAAAAGGAGCCCACCTCCGAGCATGGGTCAAAACAACTCTATTCGTATATCGCCATCATTGAGCGCGCTCAAATTTGTATTCTCGGGAGCTCCACCCGAGAGAGCACTGCACAGGCGCCACTATCCCAAACTACACAGCTAGCGTAGGATATGGGAAACTGCTTTTGTGGTCAGGGGGTTGTAGTCACCGTATCATCTCGCGAACGTGGGTTTCTTGTCGGGTGAAGAGGCATGCACCAAATACCGGCCACTGCCGAAGTTACGACCAAACTCCGATCAACTGCAGGGACACCACCCAAATTAAATTTAGCAGGGAGTTATAATAGCTATGTAGTCACAATGCCCATTGTTTTCTTCTCTCACGCCTCTACCCCGCCCGAGCAACTAAACGGGGGTTGAGCTTCCGGACTGCCTCGTGCCGCTGTCGCTCTGATACCCATCCCGTACCGTCTTACTAAATTATTAGGCTTTACCGAATTCGAACTACCCGGGTTAATATTCCTCCCATAACCCCCTCAAAACTAGACAGTTATTTATCGCCATATCCAAGGTATGATAGGGTCCTCGGCTACATATTTTGGAATACCATCTTTCCCGGTATTGACTTGTTTCAGGGCTAGCAAAACCATTTTGAACTAGCTCCGCTAGCGACGTATAGGCTACCCCTCCCGGGTTAGGTACGCTAGCCACATCTGATTACTTTTCTACTCGACCTGCGAAAATAGCCCGATAGAGAGCTACATAATTGAGCACTTGATGGATCGGTGGGGTGCTCCCTTTTCCCCCAGGGTCTATGCTTTCGAAAATAATCAGCACCCGACTAACAATCCTGCTAGAAAAACACCAGGCGATATCAGCGGAGACTTTAGCGGGAATTCAGGGAGTCGCAACGTTTCCGGCAGCCATAATAATAGTCACATAAACACTGGAAACTTGCACATTACCAATATCGGGCAGATAAATCACCAGTATGGGCTGAGAGCAGAGGATAGAGGTATTACCAGCTTTCCTGGGAGATTTCAAGAAAATGGTCTAATGCGCGATCACAACTAGAACCAGGACCCGGGCCTTATCGGATAATTCCTTATTGCAGAAACAGCAAGTTCACGGGCCGTAAGGATCTGATTGAGTCAATAAGGAGGCTTTCCGAGCTGAATTCCCACAACCGGATCGCACTTCATGGACTGGGCGGGTCTGGGTATGCACTCATCATTGGTGTTTCGGGGGTGTTCTAACGGTGCTTAGAAAGACTCAGATTGCCCTCGAATATGCTTACCGGAGCGCAAGCGAGAAAGACTGTGATGTTTACTGGGTGCACGGGGGTGGGCTGCAAAAGTTTAGAGAGGGTTTCAGAGCTATTGCACAACATGTTCGAATTCCGCTGGCCAGCGCCGAGACGGACCAAGAGGGATTCCTGTTAAACATAAAGAGGTGGTTTGAAGGTTCAGCTAGCGGTGATTGGATACTGGTTGTGGATAATGCCGACAACGAGGAGGACTTCACCGGCAACAGTGGCCCCATCTCCAAATTCGTACCACAAGGGCCCCGGGGTAATATAATATTCACCACCAGATCTCTCCGGGTTGCATCCTGGCAAGGTTGCGAAAGAATAGATATTGGAAAAATGGAGGAGGATGAGGCGCGAGCCTTGTTCTTGAGACGGTTTAGTAGCCCGGACGATTTGAATGAGGAAGAAAAAGAGGCCATCACGAGGATCCTAGAATCCGTACATCACATCCCACTGGCTATTGTTGGTGCAGCGGCCTTCATGACAGAAACCCAAACACCGCCATCCACTTACTGGGCCATTTTCCAAGAAAGCGACGAACGAGCAAAGAGTCTCCTTTCACAACCATTTTGGGACATCCAACGAGAGGCAGATATAACTGATAGCACCCTTGCGACGTACTTTGTTACTTTTGACCAGATTACCCGGCAGATGCCCTTAGCTGCCAATCTTCTACGCCTAATCGTCTGCTTCGATCGCCAGAATATACCCGAACAGCTATTGACCCAAAGTGGTTTGGAAGGGATAGATGACCCAATTCAATTTCGTCAGGCCATTGGAAAGCTATTGGGATTTTCCCTAGTTACCGCTGCCAAATTTGAGGACAAGACATTTTACGAGCTTCACCGTTTGGTCCAACTGGCTTTACAACTGTATTTACCAACCGAAGAGTTGAAATTGCCGAGGGCCACTGCGCTGAAAGCGGTTTCAAGGCTATTCCTTGCGGATGAGAACACGGGGAGATATGTTGGTTCTGCATACATTCCCCATGCAATTGTAGTAACCAAAGATTCAACTGATCCCATCGCCGAAGAGGTTTGTTTCCGCCTGGGAGACTACTTTGAAGAGATTGGTTCCTACAACGATGCAGAAATTCAATTGCGTCGATGTCTTGCACTACGGGAAGAGAATAAAGAGCATGATTGGGATGGGGAGCGTTACCGGAGGGTTATGGTTCTGGGTTGGATAAGCATAATGCAAGGGAAGGCGGAAGTAGGCGAGAAGATCTTGAGGGATTTATTAGAGGATGTTGAAGGATCGTGGGGCCCAAACACTCTGAGAGTCATGCAAGTCGTCTACTACCTGGCTGTGGCGCTAAAATCCCTGGGAAAGTATGACGAGGCAGAGATAATGAGTCAGCGTGCACTGCAGGGGAGGCAGAGGATCCTTGGACCAGACCACCCAGACACCCTAGGAAGCGTCAACAACCTAGCTAATATTCTGGGAGACCAAGGAAAGTACGATGAATCAGAGACAATGCATCGGCGTGCACTGCAGGGGAAGGAGAGGATTCTTGGACCAGACCACCCAGACACCCTAGGAAGCGTCAACAACCTAGCTAATATTCTGGGAGACCAAGGAAAGTACGATGAATCAGAGACAATGCATCGGCGTGCACT